GTACGCAGGAAGCATTTAGTTGCGCGCGGTCCGAGCCGCTCGGAACCGAGCACGCACAGGAGACAAAATATGCGGGGTGGTCCGGTCGAGTTTGCGGCGGACCACAGGCCGCAACTTCATTTACACCTATTCAGCCTCCTTCCTTCTGAACACGGCCTTTAGATTTACGAGCTATCTCGCTCTCACCTTGCCTCGCCTCGCCTTGCCTTGCCTTACCTCACCTTGCCTCACCTTGCCTCTCCTTTCCTCGCCGCTCTCCCGCTACCCTCGAGCTGTCGAGGATCGTCTCGTTTCGCCGCGCCTCTTCCACCATCTTCTTCTGTTCGCCGCCCCACCTTCTCGACCCGATCGAGCCCCGAGCGGCGTTAGATCGCAACGCTTCCGACTTTTTTCGTTTCCAACGGTACACGATCGAACAGCTCCACCCGTGCACCCCTTTTTCAAACGTTTCGGGTCGCGCGGCCAAATATCTATATATACATACGAACGTGTGCACGAAGATGCAAGAAAGATCGATAAGCCGCTGATTTATCGATCGGTCGAGTAAAAGGGTATCTGAGGTAAAAGCCACGCGCCAGATCCACTCGCGCGGATTCAAACAGCTCCGCTTATTTTTATCCCGTTGCACCGCTGTTCGCGCCGGCCACGCTGCTTACTTATTTTCGTCGAAACGTTGAGCTGCGGTCACATGCACGGAAGCTGCACGTTCGATCCTGCCACCATTGGCTTTCAGAAGAATGAAAAAAGAAAAATAGAAAAAGAAAAGGAACGCTTCGTTCGCAACACTGTTACAACGCGTCGACATTAAGTCATTACTGTTAAGCGTCGAGCCGAACGAGCAATCGGCGCGGACAGTCCGTCACGCGAGACCGAGGCCTCGCTCTCGGCGATTCTGCTCGCTAACAGCTTACTCGCCCGTGACTCGACCGCGATTATTTCAACGCGAGTCTGAGAAGAAACGCGAGACCAGCTCGCCCGCGGCATTACATTAGCGGCAATTACAGTCGGATATCTGGCTCTCGAGCGTTTCGACTTTTCCTCTCGGCCGAAGATCGTTAGATACGAGGCGAGTCGGGAGAAAGGGAAAGGAAATGAAATGACGATCATTTGTCGCGCCGGAGATCGCGAAATGAAAAGAAGAATACGCTGTAGTGCGAGCGCGAGTATAGTTGGTAATGCGTTGCGCATGTGCAAGTAGATAAGGGCGTACGAGTCTGACACGCTGGACCACGCGTTGCTACTCTACTGTCCGCGCAGTATACACACGTTCCACTAAAACGCGCTCTCGATCCAATTGCGAACACGTAGTTCGTTTTTTGACCAATATTCGTGCGTTAATAGTTAATTCGGATAAACGGGGAAATCTCTTTAACACGAAGAATATGGATTAATACGTTAATGTTGCGGAGATAATAACAAGTATAACACTGCAAATATTAGAACGAAGAAAATAGGTAGATCTAAACCTACGAATTGTAGAGAACCGCAAATCAATCTGAAACGTCTACTTTACATTTGTTTTGTTACTGATATTAAAAGCGATGGTATTTGAATTTTATAGAACTCTTTAAGATTTTATATAAAAAAACATTGCATCTGCAAGAGTTCTTCCGAACTGAGCGCATGTTATATGTCGTATAAATACATGTTATAAGATACTAAATTTCAGTCTAATAAATTAAATTAACTTAGCCCAAAAATTACGCGTTCTTTTCACTCTAACTCCCCCTGCAGATCGCTTTCAATTCAAATCTTCCTTGATCTCTCATCGGTTAAGAAAAAGGGCGAACAAAGAGATTTTTATCATGGAGGTTTCATCATAACATGGCCGATCAATTTGGAGACGTCAATGCTGAACCGCGCGCGGTGTAGCGAAAGAACACGACCAGGGGAGGAAAGGTGGGTATCACGTTGGTTCGGGAGCATTCCCGCAGTATAATTGCCGGGGATTTTGCCGGCGACGAACTCGTGGTCCGCTCCTTTCCCTCTGCCCGAGTTTCCAGCGCGATCCATAGAGAACGTTCTTCCTCTTTTTCCCTCTTGAGAGAAAGAGCGAGCGGATACGCGCCTCGCAAAAACGTAATTGCGCTCTCGTCGCCGCGACGATTTACACCGATCAATCTCCCCGTAACTCTTCACCAAGATCGCGACCGCTGCGAGCTGACCTCGTTCCCGAATATCCGCCGCTCCGATCTTTTTACTCCGCCCGTAAATTGCCCTTTCTTGCCCCGCCATCGCCGCGTTCCTGCGCTCCACAATCTCTCCTCCTCCTACTCTTCGTTCGTCCTTAGCGAAACGCTGAGGAACGAGGAACAGCGGCGAGCCGAGCAACGCGGTAAAATCAAACTAATGTATCGTAATGTGCCTTCTTCTCGCCGCTTCGCCATAAACGCCGCATTGCGATACACTGTGTGTGATGTGTGTATGTGCACGGGGAGGGGAGTACTCCTACGCTTCCCATTAGTTACTTCACCATTAGCTCAGGGACATTTATCGTCTATCGATAGATCAAGTTAAATGCAATTTCTAATCTGATCTGTCTTGTCCCTGTCTCCTATATTTTCTTGTACTCATTAACAAGGGTGCACATACCGCGAACATATCAATCATTTGTTCAAACTTGGCATAAATGTAGTTTTTGAAAAAATATTTGACACGTATTTTTTTTTCTTCTTTTTTTATCAGCAATGATGTTGAAGAGGTAAACTACCCTCAAAGTTAGGGGTTCGAAATTTTGTCAGATTTCTCGGAAATTATTGACGACACAGTCTGATGAAATTAGTGTATTTTTCAACGACGAATCAGAAGTCCTCTTCGACTGCGTAGGAAACAGACGTCGCTCTTTCCCTTTTCACCTCCATCTGTCCTTCGTCCGAACCTAACATCTTCTTCAATCCTCACGCAACTAAGTTTGATTGTACCGCGCCCCCAATGGTATCGCTTTATTTTATATCGGTAGACATAAACCCCTTACTCCCTTCGTCCCGGTACTGGTCGCTCTTTCGTTTTTCAAAGCAACCACGCACCCTAGTCTCCCGCGTTTTCCACCAACGCTGACGGAATTCGCGGACCGATGAAAAAAGCTCCGACCGCGGCCGGCACCGCGGATCCATAGGTACGCGCCGCGTGCTTCTCTTCTCGCATTCCGAGCCACGTTCCCACACACGCATGTGCACCACCACCTTTCGATTCGTGCATTCTCGCGACGTCGAGCCGGGGGAGACGGAAGCGGGCCGAAGAACGGAGACGAACCAGC